AAAGAAATTAAAAAAAAAATAAAAGAAATTAGGATCCAGAAATATTGAATGGCCACAAGGACTTTCTCCCAGAACTGACAGAGAGAAAGTTTCCCATAGATCTGACACTCTGAATTGGGGCTCCCAGCTTCCAAAGTTAATCTTTGTCGACACAGTGACTGCAACAGTGGGCATAAGGCTGATATGATGAGGATGACACAGGACCGAGCAAAGCCCCGGTCATGGGTCCACGGTGTCACCGTGAGCTGTAATTGACTGACTGGATGGCACCCAACAACAGCTTCCTGAACGGAGAGAGAATATACATCCCCTTTAGTTAAAGCCATTTAGTTGTGACAAAGCAGCACAAGACACGTAAGACAAAGCCTTTTGCTAATGTATCTTTTCCCTTCTTTCACAAAACATCATGCTCAGGGGAAAAATAAAAAAAGTAAAAGTCAATGTAGAGACAATGTAGTGAATGTATAGCGTGTTCATGATATGCTATTGACTTTTAAGGATTATTTCCACATTCCGCTCTCGGAAGATGAGCAAGGCAGGCGGTATCTGGAGTTGATGTATGCTGGAGCAGCCCTAAAGGACTGTTGGAGTATAGCTGATATCGGGATATCTTTTTGTTCAACTCTCAAATGCTTTGTTAAGGTATGATGAGCATGATAGTGTGTGTCGAAGTTTTTTTGAACAAAGTTTTGTATAATTTGACCAATACAACTCCTCAACATTAAAAAAAAATGGCGAGGGGGCGGAGCTTTTCCCTTTGTATCTTCTCTCGTCTACTTGTTTACGGTTCCAGTTCTGTGCTGTCAGGGGAAGTAAGGAGTGGACCCTGGATGGGGCTCGCTTGCTCCTCTTACTCACCCTCCAGCTGCCTGCTCCATCTAGACAGCTCAGAGCTCACCACAAATGAATGGAGGAACCCCGCCAGGAGTGGGTGTGGCATGTAATGTGGGAGGGAAAGGATTAGGTCACTTGCATGAGGCCTCAAGGATTAGGTTCAGTAGCTGGAGGAAGGAGAAGAATCCCTCAGTAGCAATAAGTGTGGAAGGCTATTTTCCACCCACAGGTCCTGCCAGAGTAACAATCCATAAGCAGGTGCCCATACAACAAGGCAGCCTTTTCCATTCATGAACTGGTAAAACCAGTTCTCTAAGTCTAATTCGTTGTAACCCACGGTGTGTGGGAGCAGAGGGGTGCTCCTCAGGCTGTTTCACACTTTGGGAAGTTGATTGCCAGGCCTTCCCTCTGAGGTGCATAGCCTCAAATTTTTCAGCCTTCTGGCTAGCAGCTGTGTTATCTGTTTGTACCTACTTAAAAACTCTAAACACAGGGAGCTCTGGTGGTCTAGTGGCAAGAAGCTGCACTGTAATCCCAGAGGTATGCGGTTCAAATCCCCCAGATGCTCTGCTGGAGAAGGAGGGACAATCTCTTCCTGTACCGGTCAGATCTGCTTTGATGGCACACACACACACACACACACAC